ACAGGGACAGCAGTGCCAGGGGCCAGCAGCTGCCCCACGGGCACCTGGGGCTGTGTGAGGGGACATGGGGACACCTCCAGGGCCTGGGCATTGCCGAGCCCCTCACCCAGGCACCTCCAGGTACCTGAGATGGGTGACCAGCAGAGAGGGGTGGGTGTCCTGAGATGGGTACACCCCAGAAGAAGATGGGTGCACCCTGAGATATAGCCCCCAGGAAGCTGTATACCCTCCTATAAAGATGGGTGCACCCTGGTCGATAACCCCCAAAGATGGGTGCAGCCCCTGAAGATGGTTTGTACCTGGGAGATGGGTACACCCTGGGTGAGGAGTGCAGCCCCCCCGAGAGAAGTGCACCCCAGGAGATGGGCACACCCTCAGAGTTAGGAGCACCCCCAAAGCTGGGTGCAGGTCTCAAAGATGGGTGCATTCCTGGACTTGGGGGCACCCCTGGGAGATGATGGAGGCACCCCTGGGAGACGTGTGCAGCCACATTGCAGGGTGTCCAGGACTCGGAAAGGACGTTCTCCAGGAATTTTGTAGGGACCACTGGCTCCCTGCTCCCAGTGCCCACCCAGCACCCCTCGGTGGAGCCGCCGGCTCACCTGGAGAGGTGGACACGCTTCTCAGTGAACTGGCCGGGGCCGTGGACGGGGTCCTCGTGGGGCTCGTTCTTCACCACCTCCACGCCCTCGCCCTTCTCGCTCTCCTGGTGGCTGTGCTTGCTGATGGTGTAGAGCTGCCCCACACGGTACTGCAACCACAGTGCCCGGCCTCAGTGCCACCAGCCCCGCTGACCACCCGGCACAGCCACACTGCCAAGAGGGGAAACTGAGGCACGGAGCAAGGGGTGGCAGAGCCTGAGCCCTGCAGTGCACAGGGGGTTCCTGGGGCACCCTCTTTAACCCCCGTGTCCCTGGGCTGCTCCAGCACCTGGATCCTGCTCTCCCAGCTCAGTAAACTACCTGGGAGCCAGAGAAAACTGTATCTATGTGATATATGTGGGTATGGATATCTCATCTATAGAATGATATATGTGTTTGGTGATGCAGCCGTGAGATAAGGGTTTGATTGTTCCAATGAGGATCCCATCCATCACCCCAACCACCAGCGCGATCTTATCACCCCTCTCTGCCTAAATTAGAACCTTCCTCACGTGCCAACAGCAAAGCAGTGTCCAGGGAGGGCTGGCACTGCCCAGGGTGGGCACCACTGCAGCTCCCTGTCCCCAAAATGTCCCTGTCAGTGCCAGGTGCTCACGGGGGACCTTTGGCCAGGGATGGTCCAGCTGTCAGCACTGTTTGCCGATGGGATTCAGGCTCCCTGCTGAAGCAGGAATTGAGCTTATGCTCCCTGTTGGAGCTGCTGCAGTGCCACGGGTATCCAAAATCCCTGTGCCCTTTGCCTGTTGACTCATCCCATGGTCCTGGGACTGCCCCGGTGCTGCCGCTGGGCTCCGTGCCCCAAGGTCACCGTGCCCAGGGATGGGATGTTCCCCCTGCCTGCACCCCAAATTACAGCTCAGCCCTCGCACAGAACATCCTGAGCCCAGCATGACCAAAGCACACCCCGGTCCCAGCCACGAGCTGTGCCACGAGGGGACAGCAAAAGGGGTCCAGGAACCTGATCCTCTGGCGCTGCATTCCTGTGGATACAGGACCCCCACCCACAGCCCCCTCCATCCTGACACCCATGAGACACCCCTGTTGCTGCCAGCCCCGGTCCCGGTGCCCCCTGCTCACCTCCTCGGTGGTGAGCGGCATGCAGATGCGGTACTCCTTGATGAGCATGGTGACACGGGCACGGCGGGCACGGCGGGGGTCAGGCGGAGGCGTCGGCGCCGGCGGGGGCACAGCTCATGCTGTGGGGACGCGGGGGACGCGGTGACCGCGAGCGGGGGAAACGCGCGGCTGCCTCCCACGCTCCCATCCCATCACCCCACGCTCGAAGCAGCCGCCCCGCTCCCGGTGACTTCACGAGCCGTTGCCATGGCAGTAGCGTGAGGTCACCCGTGCGAGGAGCAGCCTGGGCGTACCCAGCTGGGGACACCCCCGTACCCCAAAACCCTGCCGGCGTTAACCCTTGCCCTGCCTGGCAGACACCAGTGTCTTGGAGCACACGTGTCCCCCAAAAATACGGTGCCTTCCCTTCGGGGTGCCACATCCCCACCCGACTGTGGTGGGCAGCGCAGCGAGAGGGTCACGGGGACGAGGGGATGGGGTCAGACCTGCCCGATGCTCCTGGGGACCCCTCTCTGGGCACCCACAGTCTACCGTGCCCTGAAGAGCTGCTCCCGGGGAGCACTTAAGGTCACCCTGGTGCAGGACATCCCCTCTCTGGGCAGGAGTTCAATCCCCCTTCCCGAGGCTGTCCCCCAACACCCGTCCTGGTCAGCAGCCGTCACAGCACCCACCGCGGGACTGCGGATGCTCTGGGTGAGTAACGGGGCAGCCCAGGGGCTCCTGGCCCGGGCCCCCATCTCCACAGGGCAGGGAGGGGACTAAGTCACCCTGAAAGTCACCCTGAAAGTCAGGCCCTGGAGGGGGAAGATGGGGATCACATGGGGTCTTGTCTGCGGGCAGCTTGTCCAGCTGGGGACACAGAGACACCCCTGGGGGGAGAGGGGCATAGGGGGACACAAAGGCATCCTTGGGGGCACCGGGGAACACGGGAGTGTCCCTGGGGCCACAGAGGCATTTGAGGACACAGGTGCGTCCCTGGGGGACACAGGGACACCTTGCTATCAGGACAGAGGGCTGGTGGCAGCTTGCGGGAAGCCGAAAGCCTCCCCGGGGGGCCCCGGTAACGTGGGCTGAGACAGCCCCGGCATGAGGGACGGGACACGCCGAGGACCCGCCGGAGTCCTCGCCCCCTCGCCCGTGGCAGCTCAGACCGGCCCGAGAGGCTGGGGCTCCCCACGGTGCGGGGCAGAGTAGGAGCCCCCGGGCCGGGCTCCGCCACGCCTTCCCCACCGCTCCCCTCGACCGCCCCCCCCCCTGCGGGGCCGGGGCCCCGCCGCCCCCCTTCGCCCGCACTCACCGGCCCGCGGCGGTGCCCGCTCCCCGCCGCCGCCGTGCCCCGGCCGTCCCGGGCCGTGCGCAGGAACGAGCCGCCCCCCGCACCGCCCCCCGCGCCGCGGCACACCGACCCCTAGGGGGAGGAATGCACCGCACCGGCCCCGCACCGGCACCGCTACTGCGCTGGCACCACGCCGGCATCGGCACCGCACCGCAACGAAAGCGACCCCGGCACCGGCACTGCACCGGCACTGCACCGGCACTGCACCGGCCCCGGCCCCGGCACTGCACCGCAGTGACAGCGGCACCAGCACTGGCGCTGCACTGGCAATGGCACTGCACCCGCACCGCGGCCCCGTGGCACGGCACCGAGAGGCCCTCTGGCATGGCATGGCACAGCGCCGCGGCTCCCCTGGCACAGCACGGATCGGCACGGGGTGCCCCTGGCAAGGCACAGCGCAGCACCAGGGCGTCCTGCACCCACCAAGTGTCAGGTCCTCCCGGAGACCCTCAGCACCCACCGTGTGCCCCAGCTGGGAGGTGCCCCGGGGTCCCATCAAGGCACAGAGCCCCGATGGGGCTCCTGGGCTGGAGTCCCACTGGGAACTACTCAAATCTCCTCCAGCCACTCACCTGCACCCCACTGCCAGCCCAGCCCTTGCGCCCTCAGCCCCACCACATCCCACGGGCTGGCACTGTCCATGTGCCATCCACAGCCAAAAACCTGTTACTGGTACGGCTCATCACCAGTGACACCACTGCCATCCCATGCTTCCCAGCCTCCTTCCTCTGAGAATTTCCATCATCTTGGGCACCATCAATATCCACGCTCGTGTGCTGCACCGGGCTGTGCCTCTCCACTGCCATTTTCCTGTTATTTCCCCCCAAAATTCTGCCATTCTCTCCAGCCCCACTGCCTGGGGTGCAAGGGAGCAGCCCATCATGCCATGGTGATGGCCACTGTGGGGACATGGACTGGGCAATGGGGACACCTACCAGACCACTCTGATTTGCTGTCTCTGAGGGTGCTGTGACCCCCCACTGCAGTGGCTCTGGCAAAGGGCATGGATGTCCCACCTGCCCAGGCACCGGGGTACCCGTGGGCTCTATCGTGGTGGCTGATTTGTGCCATCTCCTGATGGTGGGGACCCCACTCTGTGTCACCCTGTGAGCCCCGAGGCAGCAGTGATGGCCCCAGGCTGTGGCCAGGGCAAGCAGTGGCATAAGGAACAGCGTGGGGACAGTGGCCCCAAAACCTTCCAGGGTGCCCATGGGCACCCATCCCACATCTGGGAGCACAGTGCCAGGAACTCTGCCTGCGGGCACGCCTTCCCCTGCCTTCACTGCACTGCTGCCTCTTCCCAGCCTGCAATGCCACCATCCTCCTGGTGACATGTGTCAGTACCACCCAGCTCTGGTGGCACTGGGGGACAGCCACACCTCTGCCCTGTTTTCCCCTGGGAGGGGACATTACAGCAGCCCCCAAAGGGTAAACAGCAGGCACAGGGCTCCTGCCCACGTGGCTGCGACCAAACCCAGCAGGGCTCCAGCTGGGGTGACCGTGGTGGTGACGAGGACCTGGTAGTGCTGGTGACAAGAACCTGGCAGGCTCTCAGACCCCCCCAGCAGCCACATTCCTCCTGAACCTGTTTGGCAGGGCCCTGTGCAGGTGCCAAGGAAAAGGCATCCGGGTTGGGCTTTTCCTGGTCATGCCCTGCTTCACTCCTGTGCCAAGTCAACAAGGAGGACAAAGAGTATTTGCTGAATCCTGGTACCCTCCCATACTTCTGCTGGTGCCTCCCAGCCACCCATGGTCCCAAGTGCTGCCGGTGCCCCACAGTTTCTCACCTCCCCCGGGAGGATCCTGCAGAAAATTGAGAAGGGGAAGAAAGAGGAGGCAGAAACAAGTGAAAAATTACCCAATTTAATCCCAAAGCCCCCCCAAGCGCCAGGGTTTCAGTAGTCCCCTGTGGCCCCCCCAGCCCCCTACCTGTGCAGCCCATGGGGCCTCCGGCTAAGCACACCCCAGGAGTGCCCCACAGCTCTGCTTTGGTGCAGGGAGGAGCTTTCCGAGGCATCCAGCCTCTTCCTCCGCTCCACCGGCAGCCCCACACCGGCACCCAGCCCTCAACCCAGCCCTCACCCCACCCAAAGCCCTTAGGAAGGTGTCCTGATGAAGACCATCCTGCTGGAGTAGACCAAGTCCACCAAGTAGGCGATGAGGTTGAAGATGGTGAGGAAGGTGATCCCCAGGTGCTTGTCCCACGGGCAGTTCCTGCCGCAGGATTCGGGGCGGGGCCGTCCCTTGAAGCTGTAGAGGGGCCAGATGACGGTGGCAGTGATGTACATCAGCAGGGCCAGGAAGTTGTACCCCACCAGCACCTTGTCCAGGGGGAAGGGAAAGTAGGCGAGGCACCGGCCGATGGTGAAGATGATGATGAGGAGGGTGAAGATGAAGCAGATGGAGTAGACGGCGATACACCACAGCAGGCCGGATTTGGGACTGTAATCATCCAGCAAGGAGAAGATAAGACAAGCCACGTAGGCTTCGAAGACCTTGAGGAGCCCGGGCACAGTGGAGAGGAAGCTGCTGATGTCCCCGGGCTTGGCGCGGGTCAGTCCCACCTCGACGGCGTAGGCGAGGAAGCAGAGGAAGGAGGTGGTGGTGGCCACGGCCTGCCGGGCACACTGGTTGCTGCTGCAGGGGCTGCTGATGAAGGTGGCAGGGAAGACCACCGAGGAGGTGAAGACCATCAGCACCGCCAGCATGGAGAAAGCTGAAGTGAAGTCGTCCCAGGAGAGTGGCAGCACGGGGTAGAGCTCCAGCAGCTCCAGCAGCAGCACCAGCAGCGTCACGACGAAGCAGAAGCACCAGGTGAACATGCACCACGTCCCCGAGGCATCCCCGAAGTTCCCCGTGGAGGCCACCAAGCTGAAGGTGAGGCAGGACAGCACGACGGCGAAGAGCCGGGCGATGCCCACCCAGGAGGTGAGGGCGCGCAGGTTCACCCTCGCCACGGCCATGGTCCCGCCGGCTCTCCCAGCCGCGCCCGCGCCGGGGAACGGGTGCTGCCGGCAGCCGCTCTTATCGGAGTGCCGGCGCGGAGGGGTGGGGCGCGGGGCAGGGAGCTGCCAGCCCCCCCGAGCCACTTGCGCCGAGGACCCCCGGCTGCTGCCGCCACCACCGCGCACAGCCGGCCAGGTGGCTGCCGGGGGCTGGCGGCCACGCCGGCGGGTGGATCATTAACGCGGGGCTGGGCAAAGGGTGCCGGTGCTGGCGGTGATGTCGAGCCCCACGGTGTGGCTGGGGCAGGCAGGAAACAACATGTGCCACCTTCCTGGCACCGTGTCCCAGCCCCGCCCACGGCAGGAGGCACAAAGGGGCCTTTCAGGCACCCCAGGAGTACCGGGCAATCCCCTTGACACCCCATCCCCACAGAGTGCCAGGGTTGGATGCCAGCGGGGCAGCACCCACTGGGCTCACCTGAAGGGGTTAGGGGCTGAACCCAGTGCTGGGTGCCCTTGGAAGGGGGTGCCACAGCAGGGTGTAGCCCCCTCACACCCTTGAAGGCAACACCTCCACACCCCTCTGGCACCTCCACACCCCTCCCGGCACCTCCACACCCCTCCCGGCACCTTCACTACCTGATAAGTGGCTCAAAGTCCAGTTATGCCAGTTGTTGTCACGGGGCAGGACAGGTGAGGTGACCATGGGGAGGGCACCCGCACCTTGCCCCCCCTGGCACACCCCACGGGCAGCACCCCCACCTCCCCAGGGTGTCTGGGGAGGTCTCATCCCGGAGCAGCACAGGAGAGTGGTGGCACATCAGAGGTGGGGAGTGCAGCAGGAGGAGGATGATGGCAAAGGCTGAAGGCTCCAGCCTGACCTTTAATGTCACACAGGGTCCATGGGGTCTGTGCCCATGGCAGAGCCTGGGGATGTGGGGCCCACACTGGGGCAGCTGGGCTCTGTCAGGGGATGCCTCACCCCAAATTAACATGGGCCCCTCACCCCAGGCAGGGTCTGGGCATAGCCATGGTGGGCAGGAGCGGGCACTGCCACGGGGTCCAGTGGTGGCTCTGGGGGGCATGAGGTGGCTCAGAGGTGGCTGCCACCCTCACCTTTGCCAGGCAGCCCGTTGAGGGGGCTCAGCACCGGCCGGTTGCTCTCGTTCAGCCGCCGCACGCGGTAGCTCTCGTAGTGGACATTGTGGGTGATGTCCTTCAGGTCCTGCAGGTGTGACCTGCTCAGGGTAGCAAGGGGAGGAAGGGCATCATGTCACTGTCCCCTCTGCCCTGCTGTCACACCAGGAATTCCAGCACCCCCTGCGCAGTCCCCCACTCACCGGATCAGCAGGTCCCGCAGGAGGGGGAACTCGCAGTGTGCTGGGTTCTCCACTGCAAAGCAAGGTAGAGGGGCAGCAGGTGGGTAGTGGGCGGGCAGGAGGGCATGGTGGTGGGCAGATGCCCAGGGAGCACATCCCAACATGCTCCAGGTACCACTGGAGCACCAGCATGGCTCCATGACGCATTTGTGGGCTCAGCACCCACCCAGGCAGGGACGCACCCCTGGGTGCTGCTCCCCACAGCCCCACAGGCCCCCACAGGAGGGCTGGGGGTGCAAAGGGCTCCACTCACCTTCGATGATGCCCCACTTGGTCTTGCGGCCCAGCACCCGCTTGCCATTCACCTGGTGCTCCTGGTCTGCCCCCACCACGGCAAAGGGGATCTTCTCCTGCCGGTGCAGAGGGCTGTGCTCACCCCGGGTGCTCTGGGCTGCCCCAGTGGGCTTCTCCCCCACCCTTCTCCCCAGGGTTGGCACCCCCAGTCCTGGCATCCTGGCACTCACCCGAATCCTGTCATTCAGTGCCCTGTCTTCAGGGTCCTGGTCAAAGTCCTCCTGCGGGTACACGCTGATGGCGTGGGTCTTCAGGTCCTCCTGGATCTGTGGGATGCAGGACTTGAGCCGGGGCTGGGGATACATGGGGCACCCCAGGAGTGCCTCGGGGACCCGTCCTCACCCGCTGCTTGAACTCTGCCCGTTCCTCCAGGGTGAGTGTGTCGGCTTTGGCGATCACTGGCACCACGTTGACAATCTTGCTGAGCCGCCGCATGAACTCCAGATCCAGTGGGCGCAGCCTGCCAAGGACCACCACCATCACCCCGGGTGACCCCACCACTGCCATCGTGGGGTGACCCCGCCACCATCACCCCGTCACCCTGGGGTCACCCCACCATCATCACCCCAGGGTGACACACCCATCCCAGGATGACCTCACCACCATTACCTCAGAGTGACCCCATCACCATCACCCTGGGGTGACCCCATCACCCCATGGGTGCTGCAAGTGAGGACTCACCAGTGACCCGTGGGGGGGACAAAGTAGACACATCCATGGACCCGAGTGTCTGGGATCTTCCTCTTACGGGTGATGAGGATCTCCTCCCGCAGGTACCTCTCGTACTGCTCGTTGATGTATTTGATGATGGGGTCCCAGCTGAGGACAAATTGGGGGACAGCATCTGAGCTCAATCCCCACCCCAAAGTGTCATGCACTGAGTTGAGCTCCTGCACCCCACTGTGTCCTACCAGTTCTCATTGTTGATCTGGTCCCCAAAGCCCGGCGTGTCCGTCACTGTCAGCTTCATCTTCACCCCCTTCTCCTCGATGACTATGGGGCAGAGAGGTGGGTCAGTGGGATGAAGCATTTGGGAGAAGGAGAGGACTGGGGGAGGGGGGTCAGAGGCTGCCCTCAGACCTCCCCCTGGTCCTTTGTTTCTCCCCAGTGTCGGTGGGACATGGCTCCATGGCGATAACCTTACCGTGGGTGATAGACTGGAGCTGCACTGTCTTGGGAATACGTTCCTCCTGGCCAGGCTGCGAGGATTTGCGGCTCACCTTGGACTTGAAGAGGGTGTTCACCATCGTGGACTTCCCCAGCCCACTCTGCCCTGAGGGGACACCAGCAGGTTTGTCCCCCAGGGTGGTAACACCTCGGTACCCATTTGGGAGCATTCCAGAGGTTGGGCTAGTTCAATGTACCTCCCAAATAAATTTATTCCCTAAGGCTGTAATATCTCAGTGTCCATTTGGGAGCATCCAGGAGGTTGGGATGAGCTCACCAACAGCATCACTATATTATGCTGATATGGGATGTCATAGTTGTTGCTCCTCTTCAATTGTTTGCTACTTAAATAATTTAAAATCCCTTAAATTTCCTTAAAACCCCTTAAAAACATGATTTCCCTGGCATGGCAGACTCAGAGCCAGGATTCCCACCCCAGCCAGGAGCAAACCCTGGACCCAATGCTCACCCACAACCATGATATTGAACTCGAAGCCCGTCTTCATGGTTTTGATTTTCATCTGGTCGAGCACGGCTTCAATTCCCACGTATCCAAAGAGCTGGCAACCCACCGGGCCAGGCGCCACGGTGACGGGCACCTCCTCCTCCGGCACGGCCGGTGGCTCCATGCTGCACTCCTCGGGCTCCAGGCTGCTCCCTGCACAGGTGGGCAAAGGCAGATGAGCCCGGAGGCCCTGGTGCCCACCCCTCTACTGACACCGTTGCCCCAGCAGCAGCCGCGCCGGCGGGCAGAGTCCCGGCACATTCCTGGCAGCTGGAGAGGCTCAGCATGGCAACACGAGCACGCCACCCCCTGGCACACTGAGGGTTCTGAAGAGGTGCCAGTGGCATCTTTGGGGTGGCTGTGCCACTGGGCCACCCCACCCCGATGCCCCTGGTTGCCCTGCGATGTGGCATCGGGCAGCAGTGGCCATGGCCAGCTTCCTTTGCCCAGCCCATGCCGCCACCCATGCCAAGGCCACCTCCCGAAGCACCGCTCCGGCCCCGGCACACCCAGAGGACTCCCGGCCTGGGGCAGGAAGTGCCATCGCACATCGTACCCGGGCATCGGTCACTGCTGGGCAAGGGGCACTGGGGGTGTCGGAGAGCGCAGTACATTCACCGGCACAACCCTGAGCCCCAGGGACAGGGGTTTGTCCGGGGGACCGTGCACAGAGCGTGCTCCAGCCTGGGGGCCACCGGAGCCCTGAACCCGCTCCAGCCGCTTGTGCGGCAGCTTGGGGGGCCCTCAATCCCTGTCTTCCTCCTCCTCCTCCTCCTCCTCCTCCTCCTCCTCCTCCTCCTCCTCCTCCTCCTCCTCCTCCTCCTCCTGCTTCCCAGCACGGCCATTGTTCAGATCCTACCTCGGCGCCGCGGTGCCCTCGCTCAGCTCCTCGCTACGGTCGGCGGGGGTCCCCCGGGTGCCACCAGCATCTCCAGCCCCAGCAGCGCCGCAGCCCGGCCCCCTTCCCTCCGCCAGCTCCCGGCTGGCACCAAACCGGCTCCGGCTCGGCTGCCGCTCCCACGCATGACTAGCATGGCAATATCCCGCCTCCCGCAGCCCCCTCCCTGCCACAGCCAAGCCCCTGTGCCCAGTTTGCCGGCTGACTGGTGAGTGCAGAACGCACCGACCCTGCTGTGCCCACCTCAGCCTCCAGCCAGGCCTGCGTGGATGCAGACCACCCCCCTGGGTAGTTGCAGTGGCACTGAAGGGGAGTGGGAGTGTTTGACTGTGGGTACCATCCCTGCTGGCACCCACACGCTCCCTGGCACCAGGGACCACCCCAGGAGCACCTGTGCCCAGCCCTGGCACAGCAGGGTGGGATGAGGGTGGTGGCCCTGCCACCCGCCCCACTGCCGCAGTGCCCCACGGCGCCTGCGTCCCCCCACGCCACAGCCTCCCCCGTATGTGCCAGCCGGCACTTGGCACCAGCGAGGCTGGAGTGGCAGCTTGTGATGGCCCAGGCTGCCGAGTGTCCTGCTGAGGCTGTGTCCGTGTGCCACGCAGCCAGGGGACAAGGGACATGTGGGCAGGGGCCAACCTGAGCCAATCCGGGTTACAGATGATGGAGCTGAACACACCCATTGCCATGGCAACAGCACCCAGATGGCGGGGGAGGCACCCAGCACCCTGTGCCCACTGTGTGGGCACCTGGCCAGGGCGATGGCAGGGTTGGGGACAGCAGCGTCACATGTGCCAGCTGCATGTGGGTCGGGGTGTTCCTCAGAAGTGGTGAAACAGCCATGGATTTCCTGGTGACAGCAGTGACACCCAGCTGGGGGGGCCTGATAGTGGGCAGGGTACCCACTCTTGTGGGGATCCACCCACCCAGCACTGCCTGTCCTG